AGTAGAACACTTTTCTTTGGCCTTACAGCTATCTCCTTTAACTAACCTTTCCCAGAGTGGATGGTATACATGTTGGACTGGCATAAAGAACTAGACAGGGAAGCATAAATAGGCCTCTCAGTTGTTCCCCAGGAACTTAGCATTAATTAGAAAAAATGTCCAGCTGTTCTGTTGTGAAGAAAATCTTGAAAATATGACCTAGGCGAACACTTTTCTTTGGCCTTACAGCTATCTCCTTTAACTAACCTTTCCCAGAGTGGATGGTATACATGTTGGACTGGCATAAAGAACTAGACAGGGAAGCATAAATAGGCCTCTCAGTTGTTCCCCAGGAACTTAGCATTAATTAGAAAAAATGTCCAGCTGTTCTGTTGTGAAGAAAATCTTGAAAATATGACCTAGGCATAACTGATGAAGAGATGTTTGCAAAAAGTCTGAAATGAGATCAGAGGTGTTAACTACCTCATTTACTTGATAGGGTACAAGTTCAGTGCCAATAATGATACTTAAAATTTGGTCACCATTGTTAACAACTTCACCACTCCGAGCATCTAAAACCTGAAAGACAGTGTTATAATATGAAGAGCTACATAATCTACTCTGATCTACTGTAAGGGGATGTCTATGCTAAAGAGACCACATTAGCATAGCTAGGTCCCTGCAGCTATAGCTGCATAACCCAGTATTATGGATGCAGCCTATGATGTCTGAAGGAGTTTTTCCCCATTAGTGTGGGAACACCACCTTCCTGAACGATGGCAGCTACCTCAACTTCTCCATCGACAGCACGTTTACCCTGGGGTTAGATTGGCATGGCTGCTGTGCTGAGAAGTGTAAGGTTGGTTAGTTTTTTTCCACACATCTGGCAGATGTAGCTATGATACTCTAGCCCCAAATGCACTCTCAAGCCAGGTCTACACTAGACTGGAAGGTTGGCTTACAGTACGCAACTCCAGCTATGTAGAATATGGTTGACTTACCTTAAACTGAGCGTGGTGCCGTCCTCACTGTTGGAGGCCAATGGGAGCAAACACTTCTGTTGGTTTCCCTTACTCCTCACGACTGTGAAGATTACAGATGCTGGCTAGAGCTGCCCTCAGCATTTGATTTAGTGGGTCTATACTAGATCTGCTTAACTGAATGCCAGAAGATGGACCTCTGGAGCGTAGATCCACTGGTAAGTATAGATGTGGTCTAAATGTAGACCAGGCCTGCATAACTTCTTGTTTTTGAGTAGTAATAGAGAGGTATCAGTGTTAGTCTGATCTTGCTAAAACAAAAGGAAAAAAACTACAAAACATCGATAACCTCCCTGATAACACCATCCTTGCCACCATAGATGTAGAAGCTCTCTACACCAGTATTCCACACGAAGATGGATTACAAGCGATTAGAAACACTATCCCAGTGGATACCGCAGCCAATCTCACCCACAATTATTTCCAATTGGGGACAACTTACACCTCCAGATCAGTGGCACAGCCATGGATACTCGCATGACTCCACAGTACACTAACATCTTTATGGCTGACTTACAACAACGTTTCCTCAGATCCCATCCCCGTTTACCCCTCCTTTACTTACGCTACATTGATGACATCTTTATGATCTGGACCCATGGCCAAGAGACACTGAACACATTCCACAGAGACTTTAACAACCTACACCCCACCATCAATTTCAGCCTGGACCATTCAACACAAGAGATCCATTTCCTGGACACCACAGTACAAATCACTAATGGAAAATTAAATACCACTCTACAGAAAACTCACTGGCTGCTACACTTACCTGCATGCCTTCAGCTTCCATCCAGGACACACCATACAATCCATCATCTATAGTCAAGCCCTTAGGTACAACCGCATCTGTTCTAATCCCACTGACAGAGACCAGAAACTTCAAGATCTCTACCAAGCATTTGTAAAACAAAGCCCGAACAAAGAGAGTACCTCTAAAAACTGTCTCTATTTACTTCTCATATTTGTTCCTAAATAAACCAAAAACTGTAGGAGGAAACTGAGAGTAGATGAAGAGAAAAGAAAATGATATAATTGATATGATGGTGATATTTGAGTGAGAACTTGTACTTAAATGTTAGGAAATTCCCCAAGCTGAAATTGCATTAGTAACATTGTCGGTCACATGTTATATATGCAGCATTGTCTATTCCTTTTCCTCTTGTTAAATGTGAACTGCCATATAATTTGTTACCGGAAGAGAGACAGGATGTGCTTTGTGGTAGAGATAAAATCACCAGGGCATACCTTCACGGTAGAGATGTTTGCTCACTTCTTAGTGTTTGATTTTACAAGCTTGACATTGCATTAGCAGTAGTTTTCCTCTGCACACACCCATAATGAATGTTTCATTGTTTTATGACTGGTAGGTTATAAAAACACTCCTTTTCCATCCCCCGCATAAACAGAGGTCAGATTACATTACTGCAAAAATGTGTTAGACTGAAATTCAGAGTCAGCATTGCTATATTAGAAACAATGTTTATAACAGTCTCAGTGGGGTTGCCGTGTTAGTCTGTAACTTTAAAAACGAGTAGTCCTGTGGCACTGTCACATTATTGGATTCTAAAGATCACTGTTGCACCTATGGGGGGTGGGTGTTTGCCCCAAAAGTCTATACAAAGGGGGCCATGTGAGGTGTCACATGAAAGCTTATGTTCTACTGATTCTGTATATGCTATTCATGTACTTGTATAATATCTGTGTGTGGAGTTATAAATATGTACTCTGTGTTGATGCTGGAAAATTCTCTGTCTGAGACAGAGCAATAGGCAAAGAATATTCAGCCAGTGGCTATGCTAATTAGCAAGGAGACAGTGAATCTCTAGGTGCCAATACACACCTCAGGAATGTGACTGATACCTGCAAACCAGCCAGGGCAGAATGACTGCCAGCATGTGAAACAGAGATACTTTGCTTGACCGTGTGACCTGCTCTGGCCAGGAAGATGCCAAGAGAGGTATATAAGTGCCATGTGGCACCCTCCATCTTGTCTTCAGTTCGGCTCCTGATCCCAGATGCACTCTTTGCAGGGAACAATGAGCCGGGAAGAGCCATGGGACCCATCCTGACATAGGATGAATGCCAGAGACTTATAAGATAGCAATTTATAACATCTCGGCTAAGAGCCTGTATCGAGAACTGGGAGATTCGATGCATGTAATGTATTCTCCTTAAAAACCTTACTCTCATGCTTTTCTTTCTTTTAGTAATAAACTTTTAGATTTTAGATTCTAAAAATCTAAGGATTGGCTCAGCGTGGTCTTGTGGGTAAAGATCCAGAGTGTAAATTGACTGGGACCTGTGGCTGGGTTCTTGGGGCTGGAAGAACCCATTCAGGGCAGGTGAGATTGGGTTCTAAAACCCCTCACCTGTGTGCAGGCCCGGGGCTGATCGGGGCACAGGAAGAGCTGGGGTTTCAGAGGGGTTTTGCTCTTGAGGCTTCTGGCTGGCCTGATTGGCAGCTGAAGTACTCGTTGTGACTGGTTTGTGACCTGTTTGGAAGGTCTCCAGTCTGGTGCTGTAAGGAGCCCCGAGTTATGAGCAATTCGCCCTGAGCGGACACCCTCAGCTGTGCCCAGACCCGGCCCGGTCCACCACAGGAGCCTTAGGGTATGTCTAAACTACATCCTTCTTTCGAAAGAGGAATGTAAATTAGACATATCAAAATTGCAAATGAAGCCGGGATTTGAATTTTCTGGGTTTCATTTGCATAATTGCGTGTCAGTGTTTTTTCAAAAAACGCTATTTCGAAAGTGAAACTGCGGTCTAGATGCAGTTCTTTTGAAAAGAAAAGTCTTTTTCGAAAGATCGTGTAAACCTCCTTTTTTAAATTCAAATCCCGGCTTCACTTGCAATTTCGATATGTCTAATTTACATCCCTCTTTAGAAAGAGGGATGTAAGTCTAGATATAGCCTTAGACGTGAACAAAAATATGTATAGTGTCATGAGCTTTTGTGGGCAAAACCCACTTCATCAGATAAGATGGAGAGGAATAATAGAAACCCGGTGTTTTATAACAGGGAAAAAAGGGACAAAAAAGGTTACATGTCAATCGTAGGATCTTAAATTCTCTTATTTTGAAAAGATCAATTTCCGCATTTGAATTCCAAACATGTCTGCCTCTAGGTCTCTTTTTGCCAGTTAAACAGCAATATTTATGATGCCACGCAAACTTACGTTTAATTATATCCCCAAAAAAGACTTCCTTGTTAACCCAGCCACTCATCATGGAGCTGTCTGATTTGTTCCTTCATTCCTTCAGTGCTGAGATTGTGTAAAACCTTCAGCGTACCACATTATGGTTTGCTGCAGCTATGACAACTTGAAGCATATTCTGTTGACCGGATCAAGTGCCCTTGTCTTAGATGCATGTTTTATAGCAGCTTGTAGGGGTTGATTGCAGAAACCAGTCTAGGGCCCCAAATGAATGCCAGGGGCCTGCCCATCCAGAAGAACATTGTTGGGTCAGGGCCTAAGATGTGCATCTCCCCCCCC